TTCTAGCGGCGCCCCTGGACTTATCATCACATATAAAGCGCATACAGACGAATGATTAATGGGTTATACAAGTGCACAACCATTGACAATATTAAATTTAAATCGAACTATAAACAGCATAAATAATACCGTACATTAAATAGCCAATGTATCGCAATGAGTTTTACATGCACCCAGCATATTTCTAAGAACTGGTCCTGTCAGGGTTACTCATGTTGAAACAATCTTTCAACAATATTGAGTAAACTTTCCGGTACAAAATTTCCATTGGCAATCTGCCACTTAAAGATGCAGTGCTTACACAATTTGTCATAAAACCTGGAAACCACCTCAAGAATTCAATCAAATCACTGAGTAGCTCACATACAACTATTAATTAATTTATTAACTTCCAAAGCTTACGTATACGAAACAAAAATCTGACTATTTAGCTGCACCTTCTTTCTCTATGGCTGCACTCACACCGAATCCTACCGAACCGATCCGCAAATCGAATCAATACGAAGGCTGGCGTTCAGCGCATCGGAAACGCGGTCCGAATTTCGATTCGGATCCGATGTCAATGCAGCTTTACACTGGTTTTCCTAGAAAACTCCTTGAATTGATTACCAGCCAAATTTAAGTCTCTAACGAGTATAATATATATTACAGAGAAGGTATTATTTATGCGTCCGGTAATTTATGGTAGGAAAATAATTTGTAGTAACTTGCTTAATATATGAAGTTATTTTGTTGTTTTGTTTTAAAACAAACACAATGTAAAATATTTTTTTTATTAGAATGTGATACAAAGTAAAAGAAAGTACTTAGTTCATTTGTAAAATGTTTCCGAGTTAAAGATAAACTGTATTCATCTAGGCCTAAATGTAATACAAACTGAAATTTTAGATTTTCACTGAAAAATAAAATCCTTGTTAATTACCAGAAGTTCAAATACCATAATCTCTGCTTACAATACCCTTAAATTTCTATAGCAATTTACAGCATGTTTACAATATAAACGTGTGTGTGTGTGTATGTTTTGAAATGTTTCTAGTTTTTTGCGGAGAGCGGGGGGGGGGGGTTGTACAGTAATAAATAATCAATCATATTTAAGCCAGCATTTCGTTAAATACTTAATTCTACAGACAATTCGCCATTCTATACTTTTGGTCACACTGTAACATTTAACGGAACAACCAATGCAAATGTTATATCTTATATACACTATCAAATCAGGCTCATCAATCATGCTAATTGCAAGAATAAAAAAAGACAAATCCATTTACCCTGAAAAATTATAATATATTAATAATAATAAACAATCATTAAAGTACAAAATATTAATTTCATAATTCATTATAAACTTAAGCCTAATGTTAAAGTAGCATCAAAATTTTCACCCTCCCGAATTAGCTTTCTTCTGAGTGTAAGTTCCTAAAAAGGAGGCTGTGTAAAAAAAATTTTAACTTAAGCCTTAGTAGTATATTTTGCATGTTAATAAAACTTCAGATATTTTATTATAAAATTAATATTCATTTAAACAATCTAAACATCGAAATATATCATAACGTTAAAATATCAAAACAAAGGTTAAAAAATGTTTGTTTGCTAGTTCTTAAAAGTTTTTTTCCCAAGGTCTCACTTTCACCTTTTCTCTGTAGAGATGCAATCATGATGCGCATTGAAATTTCGTAACACATAAAAATATGAGAAAAACAAACAGATCACATTGTTTTACCATGTGACTCTTGTGCTAATTTTATATACATTATTTTTTTTTAAACATCTGCGATTTAAAAACGGGATTTCGACGGACAAAAAATTATTTTAAAGGCATTCCAGTGCAATTTCCAAAATCTATGTACTCCTCAAGGCTTGTTTCTTTATTGGAATAGAAAACATTGCTGCAAAACACATAATACACAGGTGTATATCTTCGCATATCATGCTTGGGCCATAAATTTCTATAAAATCTTACGCAGTTATGGGTCTTACATCAAGGACTATAACGTATTGCTGTGTTGTTGTTGTGCCGGACAATTCCATTACTCTCTCGAGGTAAGTTCCTAAAAAAGGAGGCTGGCAAAATTTAATATCGGTTGTATTTATGCAGTACCATTTAAGAAATCGACAATCATCATTTCTTATGTGGATGTTTGAATTTCTGCAGTTTAATGTTTTGCCTCATGGAAGTCACAAAAAGATGCCATTCACAAAAGATGCACAAAAAATATTCTTGGCTTTAAATTCCTTTTTTATCTTACATATCTTACAGTGTACCAGTAGTACTACAAAATTCACATATACAGTACTTCTGTTTACTTCAATGCAATTCATGGTACAATCCAAAAAAAAAAAAATTGTGTTTTTTTTTTTTAAAGAAAACTTGAACACATCAATCGACTGCTCTTTTCAGAATTGACTAGAAGACAAGAATTTAAATAATTCATAATGCACATAAGGCTTTAAAGAATGCAAGAAATTTCTCAAAAAATCTTGAATTGCACATTTTTTTTAAACTACAAAATTCATCAAACTTTAGCATAAAAAAATACAAAAAAAAAAAAAAATGGTATCCTTAATTTCAACGGTGAATGACGACAACACTTGCAAAGCCGATAAGACTGAAGTAAAGATCTACAAGACATGAAAGGATGGCTCATGGCATATGCATCGTAGAACTTTTAAAAATATTTTCGTAATATTTACAATCACAGTCAGAGAAGCAAAATCTTGTGAATGACACTGGATGACTTAAACATTAACTGAAAACTTATTATCCAACAAAATTCGCATGTGCAATTTATTCATAAATAAAATTTATTCAAGAACATAAAATCTTGATAATACCATACTTCCTAATTAAATGCAAGTATAAATGGGCGGACCTATTGCGATGCATGTTAAGTACATTAGAAACCCCTATTAAGGGAACTCCCTTGGGACCAAAAAGTGTCCCCAAAATTAGGGGTGTCCATCTAATAGGATGTCCCAAAGGAGGGGTTCTACTGTAGTATTATTGTTTACATTGTTTCCTCAGAAAATTGTATACCAAAAACATCAGAAAAACAGAAATACATTAGTGGAAGAAGGACTACTGTATACTAATGTTTGAAGAATGTAGATGATTTGATTTTATTATTTCTCCATTCCTATGTTGTAATATTTATATAAGTTTTTCCAAACTACAGTGTGAACCAATTAATTTTTTCCCCCAAAGCTTTCTAGCATCTATCTTGATAATTTATATTAATATTTTGGTAACCTAGTTTATAAGTTATCGTTAGACAGTTGGTAGAAGTTCTTCATCGCTCTCATCATGATAATCAATCTGACTTGGATGTAGATCCCCTAGCAACTCATCATCATCATCGTCCTTAAAAAATGAATCTCGTGGATGCTGGCGCTCTAACTCTCTAGGAGTCATATCCTCCAGAAGCGATCTATCGTCCTCTTCTTCTTCCTCTGCAGAAAGCTTTGAAATATATGAGATGTTAATACCATTACCAGAGTATATTTGAAAAATAAACTAAAGCAGGAACCAGCATAAGCTGGGAAGGCAAACACACTCGGTAGTGTTGAAGGAGTAAGGATCACAGTCTGGCAAAAACACAAAGGAATAATATGTTAGACATGGTGCTTTACACCAACAAGGCCTCCAAGTTCTTCACCTCATTACCCCCAGTCACTGGATCAAGCACAAATGGAACACATACTCAGCTCCCAGGGGAGAATTCCATAATGTTCTTGGAGGAGAGAGAGAACCATAAGTAAAGTGCCTTGCCTAAGGACACAAGTAAAATGCACAGTGAGGATAGAACCGCAGCCACTGCGCCAAACTACTCCCTACTCCTACGACAGAGAGACAGACCTTTTGGCCTGTGAGCTCAGCGCTATGTTTGTGTATTTACCTTACAGTATAAATTCATAAAATTATTGTGAAAACCTTCATTATGTAAAGTCCTGTCCAGACTATCAAATTTTATTTGACAAAAACATGTGACATGCCTAAATATGGTCATGATAACATCACAACATGACCATACATAGCCACATCATGACTATATATAGGCATACAACAGTTTTTTGTCAAAGAAAAAGTGATAGTGTGGAAGAAGTTTTACTAACTCACCTTTGTATATTTATATGATGGTATGTTAGAATATCCTCCATTAAAACATCTTTTTACACTACTTACAAAGGCCCACCTAAAAATGAATTGAAATTAACAGTTTATATTATAATGCTGTCCTCTCTGACACTACCATCTCAGTTGTCACTTCGACCATACTTGTCACCATTGTTATCTTCATCATCTAGGCCAGAATACTTCATTGAACATACAATTTGGGACTATAATCACTCCCTTTTCCATTCTCTTAGCTACTTTACTGTTGAAATCATAGTATGTTTACCAAATGTCATAATACTAAGTTTTTAATAAGGTATATTATGGCAATTATTACAGGGATACAACAAATGTTTCACATTTAACATACCTTCGTTCATGTTCATGAAAATATAAGGCCAAGCAACAGATGACAATCAAAACAGTAAAAACTGCAATGATGATGCTGATTTTGTGACTTCCACCAACTCTAGATGTCAAAGACCTAGTACCAGTTCTGTAGAAATAATGATCATCACAGGTTATAATTCTATTCCTTTGAGATTCCAATTAATCAGTACAAAATGAAAACTAATATTGGCATTCAGATAAACTTAACCAAGTCCATTCTGTTAGCATTAGATAGTAAATATTACATAAATTAATAACTAACAATCTGGGCACTCAGCCCTGTAAAAAAAAAAAAAACACTTACGAAAATTTGGTACAAACTTTGTCTGTCCTCCATGTGAAGACGTAATGACACTTAATTGATTCATATTGGAATTCTGGTTCTCCCTATAAACAAAAATTCCAAAACATATGATCATCAACTTCCAAACCAAAATAGTGATTGAATTCTGGAATAAACACATCAAAAGTAGTTGACAGTTAAACATTTTTTCGTTTATACAACTTTAGGAACAAGGGCCAAGGATATCCAAAACAGCAAACGTATACATTGGTAATTTCTCCACACAAGGCACACATCCACACAAGAAGTAAGTACTGTAAGTTGAACATATGGATTTGAACATACCAGTCCTACACTCTGGTCACACTGGAAGATGATGGTAGAATTGACATCACCCCCCTTGAGGCATGAGTCTGGGTTTGTAACAACCATCTCAAGAGTGTCATCTGTGAATTAAAATAAAAATAGCAAGAGACATTTAATTTACTGTAGATTTGGTGTGGATGTTCAAGTAGCCAATTAAAATCACCTAGCAAAAATTAATTAAATATTACCTGACTTTTAAATTGATAGGTAGTGTTCAAGTAACCACACAGTATCCAAAAACGCTGATAACTGATGTAAAAACCATCAAGTAAAAACCAACAATCACCCATTAGAAGATATTCAAACAACAATCAGTGGCAAAAGATGATCAAGTAAAAATCAAGATGCTCATAAACAAGTAACTATCAAGCAACCATCTGGCTGGCTGAAGATGTTCAAGTATTCATTATGTAAACTTTAGCTGGCAGAAGATTTATCAAGTAACCATTAGGGTTGCAGAAATGCTCAGGCAACCATCATGTAACATTTAGGTTGACAGAAGATGCTCAAGTAACCACCAAGTAACCTTTAGCTGGTAAAAGATGTTCAAGGGCAACAATCAAATAACATTTAAGCTGGCAGTAAATGTTCAGCATCCATCAAGTAACTATTAAGCTGACAGAAAATGTTCAAGCAACCATCAAGCAACCATTAGGCTGGTGGCAGAAGATTATCAAATGACCATCAACTAACCATTAGGCTGGCAGACGATGTTCAGCATTCATCGAGTAACCATTAAGCTGGCAGAAGATGTTCAGCAACCATTAAATAACCTTTACATTGACAGTAGATGTTCTGCATCCATCAAGCAACAATTAAGCTGACAGAAAAAGTTCAAGTAACCATCAAGTAACCATTAAGCTAGCAGAAAATTTATCAAGTAAAAATTAGGCTGGCAGATTATGTTCAGCATCCATCAAGCAACTATTACGCTGACAGGGATGTTCAAGCAGCCATCAAGTAAACTTTAGCTGGCAGAAGATGTTCAAGCAACCATCAAGTAACCATGAAGTTTGCAGAAGATGTTCAGCATCCACTAAGTAACCTTTAGCTGGCAGAAGATGTTCAGCAAACATCAGTAATCTTTAAGTTGGCAGATATTCAAGGATTCAATACCAGAACCACTAATTTTCAAATACTTAGGATTTACTCTATAAAACTGATCAATATGATATGATATTCCAATTGTTTATATTGTAAATACTGTAACAACATTAGGAAGATCATTTTTTTCAACAGTCACCATATATCATTTTGAAAAATGCATTCACCAATGCTTTACTGCAGGTATAGATTAGTAGGTCAAGTAAATATTTGCAATGAAATCATGTTATTAATCCATAAGAACCATTACAACTAACCTACGACACAACTATCCCCAATACACACCAATCTATTACACGCTGGCCCCCCCACTACACGATAACCCTTGACACAATGTCTGTGAAACACTGCCAGTCATGGGCTGAAATGCTGTGTGTTATTTATTACAGGTGTAAGTTATTGCCATAGGGTCTCTGGTAGATATAACAAGATAACATCAAGTGCCCTTGATTTCCAAGCTAAGCATATTGACCAAGGAAGTTGGTAATGACATGTGAACACCCATCACACTGCTCATAAAGCTAAACTGATATTAAAATGATTTTGTGACAAATTGGAGATCACAACCTTGACAAAAGCAACAGGTGTCCTCCCATCATTACCTCCTAGAGTGGTTGAAATTAAAACTTATTTATTATTTAATTGTATCACATTGGATTCATGAATCTTATTAATTTTGCTTAGTATATTCTATGCCACAATTTAATATAACAGATGGATAGAAGGACTGTTTTTATAGTTTCTCATGGCTTAAACATATTTGAAAGTAATTATTCATAGGAAGTGTGTCAAATTAATAATCATATCAAACTTTCATAAATGCTATTTTATCTGTTTTAAAATGACAAAAAAAAACCCTGCTCTCTTTAGAGTATATGACTCGGGCATGTGTGTGAACTCAATTCTATGAACTGAAGAAAGCAGATCATATGAGTCAAGGTTAGCTTATTATTAGCTCAAGAGAGTTCGTTGTTCGCATCTTAAATGCCTACGCACACATGCAGTGCTATCAACTGATTGTCGTTTGAGTATAACTTCCTATCTTGCAATAGTACACACATGAACGTGGACATGGGTAAATAATTGTTTTAAATGGTCATTAATTAAATGGTAATCAACTGATTTATGTGTGCATGTATCTACTTAAGTGAATGACAGAGAATTTCAGTGTGTTGAGCTGCAGTTGAAAAAGTCACTCCATTAAAATAAATTAAAGATGTTAAATGATTAGTTTAAGGAAAGCACATTGCTTCAATTAGGATTTGATTCAAAGATTTATTTTCTTTCTGATTTTAAAATCAGTAAAAAGAGTTATATTTTATAAAATGTTTAACTTTTGGAAGCAAAGAGGGTACATTTATATTATCAACTAAAATAAATAAACCAATAATTATACATAAATGACAATATGTAAATATATGTATACATACCAACTTTGAAATTGAGACTTGGTTGGTAGTTCAAATCCGATTAAAGCAAATTATTCTATATATTTACATATAATCTGTGTGTGTATGTGTGTGTGTGTGTTTTTGCTGACCTTGACAAGTGCCTCTACTTATAAAGAGATAAATCAATGACAGCCTAGACTTACATTTCTCATTTTAACAGTGGGAACCTGTTTGTAATGACATCAAAGACAAGAAATCAAATTGTAAATCACAGGTAACTTTTACAACATTGGTAATTAAACAGTATTACTATGCTGTCGGTAGCTCAGCAGTATCGATTACCTATACAAAGTGCAATACACTCAGATGTAGTGGAAAGGTGTATGGTTAAATAAGTAACAGCTGGTTAAGATTGTAGTAAAGAGGGGCAAAGTTGAAATGCAGATAAGAATAATCCATAAAAAATTAAAATGGGAATTAACATGAGGGCAGAGCTTTGTAATTCTTAAGTTACATTCCTCTGGATTTCATTCTGCTCAAATAATTTAAATTATTGCAATGATTAAATGCAGTGATTTTTGGGCCTTCAGATCCCTAGGTAAAACATATTAGCTAAACTTCAGATAAAAAAACAGCTGGGCAAAATTGTGAAACATTTTGTAGAAGTTATAATCTCTTGGTGAAAAGTGGGTTTAATGCATAACAGCTATCTATACAAAATTGGAGCTATGGATAAAAGTTTGGAATGAATTGTAAAACCTCCAGATTTCCAGGAAAAAATTTAAAGTCGAACTTCCTGGTAAATACAGGTAGGAGTGTCAGGTAAATTATTGGGATATTTCCCTGCCTCGATAAAAAACAATTGCCTGATCCTGCTAGAAAAGGACTATCTTTGCCTGGTGTGAAATTACCCACCCTACTTGAAAATTCTCCAGCACTGTAAAAAATTACATCCCAGTCTGTAAATTTTCACCCCATTTTGGGATAAAAACAATTTGTGTGTAGTGAACATAAAAAAAATAAAAAATAATGAAAGTTAATTTTTTGGGTCAAGTTTGTCCATCTGCTGGTCATTTTTCTGACATATTACATGCAAAGAGCAGATTGGCCTAGGCAATTATGGTATACCCACTCACAAGAGCTCAATTTGGCAAGGTATCAAGAACAGCAATGATTATTAACCTTCCAGTATCTACCTCCAGAAATAAAAAAAAAAAAAACTTGGCCAAAAGTTGCCAACAATAAAATGGATCAACGAGAAAACTTTAAAGCTACATTAAAAAATAATTTGAAAACAAAGGAAATATTGTTGAGAAGGACATGGGAATAAATGTCCTTCACATTAACAAGGTCTTCTGTAATTACTGACACATGAAAATGAGTCTAACATTTGGGCTTTTTCTGTGTGTGGGTGTGTGTGGGTGTGTGTGTGTGGGTGAGTGTGTGTGGGTGAGTGCGTGTGTGTGTGTGTGTGTGTGTACGTGTGTATATATATATATTTTTTTTTTTGTGGTAAAATTGGAAAACAGGCAAGCAAAACAATCCTTTACCTTGAATGAAATCTGTAGAGATTAGGATGCAATAAAAAAAATCATGTACTGTATATTTGAATATGTTATCATTTACAATGGACAAAAGCAAATGTGCAAAATTAGATTTACTCAAAGTTTATTAGACTTGCCACAAGTCTCTAATTTATTGGTTTTTCCTAGTGTTAAAAACTTTCGGAGAGCGCCATCAACGTCTGGTTGTATCAAGAAAACATTTTATGTTGTTGAATTTGGATCGCAGAATTAGAGAAAAAGCATAGTATGGAACGCCATGATTAAGACAAAATTTAGAGACTGGGATCCAGTCTAAAATTTTATCAGTGGCTTAGCTAGGGATACTGAAATGGGATTAGAGCTGATAAAGAGGCATGAACATGAAGTGGGAGGGCTAGATTAATACGATTTTTAACTATTGTAGCATAATTGTTGATGCTTCAAGACATTCCAGTGGGGAGTGGGAAAGGTGGGTGCATGAGTTTTCTTTTTTTTTACAGTGGTCCCAAGAAATGCCACTGACTCTGTTTAATACCATTAAGAAAAACCATATCTACATTCCATTTTAAATAAATAATTAATGATAACAACAGAAAAACCTAAAACATGTTTACATCTACCTGGTAAGTTTTTGAATGTTCTTAAGAATATGAAATATGGCTGTATCAACCATAATATGATGCACAAGTTCAACTTACAGGTATTTCCCGATTATCTATTATTATGAATCTATAAATAATTTATAATATATACAAACAATTTCTTGTCACAATCATATGATATTCTTGTTTACTTTTATAATTAAGCTAATTTACATAATGTAGGCCTACATATATTTTTTATATTTAAACTTAATTTATAAATTCTAAAACTGCAAGAATATTTCAGTATTTAACATCTTGAGGTGCTTTCTGTAGATGTACAAAGAATCCCTCATTTTCAGATGCAACACATACCACATACCAACACAAACCTATTTACCATAACCAAAAAATACTAAACAATAGTAAGCATCTATCTATGTTCACTTTATTATTCAACACAAATGGTTTACTTTCCAGTTATCTAAAAATATTTCTAAATATATGAATAAATATCCAAGGGAACAATCCTAAATAATTTAAGAGCCAACAAATAAATAATACAATAAAAATATGAATATTATGTACAGAAAATATCATGTAAAGCCAACATTTGGTCTACATTTTGATTTCTTGTGCTGCCGTTTTTAATTTTCAATAATAAAATTTACAAAAAAAATAAACATGTTTACACTTTGTTGTTTGTGATTTTTTTGTTTGTTTGTTTTCTACCTGTTGTTTTGACACTATGCCTTGAGCACCAATTTTGATGATGCTGCTTGCACTTTAAAAAATAATAATTATTATTATTTGTAGAATTCCTATGTGGAACAAGATGTTAACTAAAAGTACCCTACTTTTACTTTTAAAAGTATCATCTATAAAACCTCACAGATTTAAAGGAATTAAATGTTCATCAAAAGAATTACTTTCTCTAAAACCTGGAATGTCCTTGGTAATGAACAGTTTCTGTGAAATAATGGTTCTGGAGATTTCATAGGGCATAATAAGCCTTCAACTGTTCAACTTGCTGATTGAATTCAGATGATGTGGGCAAAATGATTGAGGAATGGTGACAATTTCCCCGCCTTTCATGTACTTCTTTGTACATGAATTCTGTCACATATCTCAACTAATAAGTTCTTTCCATGAGTACACAAAACCACAAATTGATTGACAAGCTGTGTCAGGCAATGACCACAAAGATGACCCCAAAGAACCTGCCCCTGACCACAACCTAGATTATTAGTGATGCTGTGTAGCCATGGTGACACAGCGAATGACTTTTACAGCTTTGCGCAACAGAACAGTTAGATGATATTTTCCCCTTTTCTTTAATAGATCAGAGAATATTATGTAACTTTTTGATATACAAAACATTAACAAATCTATGAATGATATGTACAACACTTTTAGATACTAAATATGACTGATAAAAAGTACACCTTGCCAAGGTTCCAAACTTATAATTATGATGGACAGAGCAAGGCCTATTGTTTTATTCTGTTCTCCGCAGCTCCCTAATAAATTGAAACAATATTGGCAAAGAACTGCAAACTGGTATAAGAGGTTCTGTCAGTATGCCAAGGTCATCGAAGAGGTTACAGTTGGGTTAATTTCAGTACATCCTCAGTAAAAACATACACACAATACATGTTAAAACTTCCCTAAATAATCAACAACATTATGAAAACACATGCCTACTATAATTTAATGGTCAGGCATTTCACACATTCGATAGAGAGTTCCCAGAAAACATATAATCTCAAAATTATAGGCCCTATTGAGGTAAAAATATGTAAATTTAAGAAGAATGCTTTAACAGGTAATTGTAACTATATTAAACATACTTGTAACAACTACATCTTTTAATCGTTGATTAAGACGTTTTTAACAAATTCAGAAATTCATTTGATGGTAAATGGTGAGAATGTTTAAATCTGATATTGCAAAAGTATAAAATATCTACAGTACTACATATATTCTACCTACTATATATACTGTATGTTGAGATAAACAGTACTTTATTTATGGTGTCAAATGATACTAAATCTGAAAAAATGGTTAACTTTCCAATACAGGACCAGTGGTGTGGATACAGGAGTTAAAAATCGAGGGGGTGCCTAGGGGGGACTTTCACAGATGGAGAATCCAGACTAACTCAGCCCCACCATGGTTAGGCTGAGATTTATGATTTTGGCACTTCTAGATGGCCGGAAATTGCACTCCCTGATGTAAATTTGATTACAATTTTCCTTTTTTCTCCATTTTTTAAAATAATTTTGAAAAATTGCGGTGGGGGTGGGGGTGGGGGGAAGCAAGTAGACTGGCTCACACCCTCCCCCTGCCACTGAGGACTTCTTTTAGGTTAAGTAAAAATGTAAAAATATTCAACAAGTGAAATATCAAAGAAGCTTGTTAGCCCAAATATCAAGGAAACTTACCTTTATAAATTTTAATGAAAATTTGTTTCTGCTCTATTTAACTTTAAAACAATATATGTCAACATGAGAGTTTAGATTGGTAGCTGAAGTGGAAGATGGATGAAATTCATCTAACAACCAGGTGGAAGATAGATATTTGGCAACATTTCAACTTCTACAACACTGTACAGTTTACACTGGTGACTAAAATAGTTCAAACTTGGCAATGCCACGGACACCTCACTATTTCAATTGTTATCACAATGGAAAATTTAATACTGCTGTTATTGTTAAAGAAGAAGTAGGGCATAGGGTTATTAACATTATTCAATGTTCAATTAGTCAATTGTTCTGTTTGTCATTTATACACAATTTTACATAAAAATGTACATAATTACCTACATCTATAAAGTGTTCAAGATCCTTTTTATTCTCTCCACATTTTTAGATTCTAAATTAAATCATGTTTGCCAAGTAAAAAATTTTGGCTCTGGAACACGTTTTTCCATATAATAAACTTTGCAACTATTTTATTGCCATTATAATCAAAAATTGTTTTCTAGAATTTAACTTCAGCTTCCCCCTCATGATATGACCTCCGCTTCCCCCTCCCAGTAAAATCTTCCCAGTGTCAACTTCTTAAACCATACTTTTAACAATTTCAATTTCACTTGATGAGTCACATCATCTATATTTTTTTAACCAGTGCTCATATTTCATGATGTTGATGTGGTTCTAGAATGTGATTTCAATGCCAAGAAAACCAGTTTAATCAGGAAAACGGTAGAATGTTGTTTTGGGTTAATTATGAGTATGATGAAATCACATTCACCCACAATGCCTTTGTTCTTTGTAATGCCCTTAACCTCAAATATTAACAAACAATGATGAATCACTAACGCCAACATTTTATGAGAAAGCCAATGGAAGGGAGGCCAACTTTTGACTTGTTTGTTTCTGCACAGAATGAATCCCTGAATTTACAAATGGATTAGGAAAATTGTTAGGAGGATTACCTAGTACTAGAATTTTTGTGGTGGGGTGGCTTGAGCCCCTTTACACGATAAGCTCTTCTGCTTGATCTAAGCAAACATTAAATCATTGAATATTTTTGTGAAAATATTTAAAAGGAAAATGACATAAATAATCAATTAAAATCAAATAAATATGTATTACATTAAAAACAAATTTAAATTAGTATCATGTGATTTTAAGAATGACAATTTGTCAGCATTACTGAAAAGGAATCCTTTTAAAGAATTGCTTATTTCCCTTGATGACATTTCTATTCAATGAAACATATTAATAAATGTACAGTAAAACCTTGATTTTGCGTACGGTACGGGACCGGAGGGCGTACGTAAATCGGGGGATTCGTTAAAATAGAGGTTGGGTTAAATTTGTGGTAACCTTTGACCTAATACGTACGTAACGCTCATTAAACATATGTATGAACGAACGATGTTACCTAGGCTAGACCTAGCCTCTAGGCCTACGAATAAAACCATTTGTTTAGTGTTTTTATTCATCAATTTACGATGTCATAATAAAGTGTTCTAATAAAACCATGTGTCTAGTGTATTAATTCATCACTTTATATCTTTTATTTAACTAAAGAACATGAAAATATTGTAAGATTACCTATACGACAAAGGTATAACTTGGGAATTCCCCTTCATGCCTATTCTAAACAACAGAGCTGTGGTGTTGTCTGGGCCTGTTGAGACAAACTAAAACCATGTGCGCTGCACTGGGCGAGCCAACCAATTAGCGTTCCTGTACGTGAAACACCAACCATGTGCAATGCCCTGGGGGAGCCAAACAATTAGCGTTTGTGTACGAAACTATGTCTACCCAGCTTCGTGTAAAAAATTCGACCAGACAAGTTTTTCCATGGTTTGCCACACGAAGCTAAGGAGGAGCAATTATTTTGAGCACCATCGGTAGTTGTTCATCTCACGCAGTTCACATGGTTTTAGATTATAACAACCCGGTATTAGACTCAATCAACGTTGATGTTTAATGAAAATACGTTGGATTATGGTTTGTTTATTGTTATAGTTTATTGTTATAGTCTTTTTACTTATGGTTGCTCTGAAAAGGTCCGTTTGTTTTGAATATTTTTGGGTTTTTTGATGACGTCATCATCCATACGAGGTGTACGTAAAACTGAGGGTTCGTATAACTGGGGTACGTAAAAACGAGGTTCTACAGTACTAAGAAATCAATGAACATTGTGATCAATACATTTTTATCAATCTATCAATCTTTGGTGAGAAAGAGTTTCTTATTTAATTTTATTTTTTATTTCACTTACTCGACCAAAAAAACATGAACAGTACAATATAAATGCAAACGAGATGGTCAGGGCAGCTTATGAGCTTCTGAGTGTAAATAAAGGCTGTTTTCATAATAATTAAAAAAAATAATAACAATAAAGAGAATATAATAAGAGAATGTACTTCAAAACAAATATCCTAAATTAAATAAATAAATTAAAAAACAGCTGTATCTTACCTGTGATGTAGAATTTCTTGTATGTAGACATGCCAATGTTTCTAACAAAGTTCCCACTTGGGTTTGTCTGGCAAACAGCCGAGCCTGTGCAGCCAGATTTTTCACTCACATCTCCATCCAAGGATATGTAATATATATACGTTGTATCTTGTCTCGTCTCTTTAACTGTATACTGTCTGTGAAATGAGTTACCAAGTTCATCATGTCAAGTATTTTAAGTGGATCTATAGATAGGTAGATTAAGGTGCTCACCTTATAAATCCAAGGTCCTATGTTCAAATCCTGTAAATACTAGGATATTTTTCTTATGCTTAAGAATAACAAGTCCAATATTAATACTATTGGTTTTTCTGGCATTATTGGCAAGAAATTATAATATTCATGGTCAGAAATAAACAACAATATTCTGCTCCAGTTCGGGTCGAAAAACAGAGGGACACGTCTCACATATTTTCAAGGGGGTTGGTACCCCTAATTTTTGATTGCAATGTAATTTCAGAAGTCAAGAAGATGCCTGAAAATTGTAAAAATGAACTGTATAAATAACATTATACATATAACATTATATATATAAAGAGCATTCTGCAGCAGTTCTATATCATTATTTTAAATTATTATCTTACAACTCCTGTACAAGTTTGTAAAGATGATGCTATGATGCCATGAATCAAGTGCTCTTAAAAGTTTTTAGTAAAAGATTATAAGGAATTTGTTTGAGCTTCATTATGACCATAATGGTGATGTGACGATGATGTCATTTCTGGCAATCTAAAGGTACTATATCTTCAACAATATCCTCAAATATGGTAGGGCTGAGGTGAACTTGGACTTACAAGTCCTGAGTGTCCCCTCCCCCACCTTTCAAAACAGGTCTGCACACTTGATTTTAAGTTACATGATGCTAATATGAATCTAGAGAACTGGACATACTGTAGTATGATCACCTTATAAAATTTAAGACTATAATTGTCATGGTAAATTGTAACCAAGTTTGTTAGTGAATAAGACTAGATATATTAATTTTAACAAAAATGAGAAAAATTAAAAAACAAATTTAACAAAAAACTGTTTTTAAATGGTAAAAATTTATAACATTTATTCATTGTCTACTTACTTTGATTTTAGTTCACTTATATCTATAACTTGCTTCGTTTCTGGATTTGTAATTTTTCCATTTTTCTCCTCAACAGTACGTCTGAATGAAAAGAAAATTAATTATAAATATCAATTAATAATTATAAAAAATTTCTATAATTTCAATGCCGTGTATAAAACGTTCTTCTATTTTTACTTCAATGTTAGTGCATACTACCTCTGTAGTCATTTTATTAATTGTAATTTTGACAAGCCACAAAAATTTTTACGTAAACACCCCTCAATGATAAATTATGGACACACAACGTTGACATTATGGTCAGGTTCACACTAGAGGAGCTAACCGTTAGCGCTAACTATTAGCACCCGTGTGAGAACATCCGATCGGTTAGCACTAACCATTACCAGAATCCGGATACGCTAACGGTTAGTGAGTGCTATCGGTTAGCAATTTCAACGTCATCTTCTTAATAATCTGGATTTTGCTAACCGTTAGCTGCTGTATAAGAACATAGCCTTTGTGTAATATACAAACCTCTTGTGTTGCATAGTTCTCATTGAGATTACTTCACAATTATGGATGATTAAATACATTTCCTATATCATATTCAAAGCTTATCTTTATTTATTTTGAGTACACTTGACATTCCCATTATCCAAGATAAGTACCTACAATTTATGTACACATTCTCCTCCTGTGGTATATGTATCAGGCTTCGCAAGTACTATGGAACTTCCATAGTTGCTACGGAACTTAGCCTAATTACCGACGTACAGAAATATACAAAAATACTATGAAAATTAATCATAGGCTTAACCCATAAATAAATAGGTCAGAGTCCAGAAAAAATGAATTTTCCTTTTGGATCTTTGGTTACATTTTCTTGTATTTACTACAAATATTTGAAGACTTGAGAAATCTGCATATAATCAGGATACCATTGCATGATATTATTCCTAAAATATTTGGTACAAAGTATATTTGGATTATTATGAAATAAAATTTATTTGTTATACCAACTTATAACAATGGTCGTATTTGACTGGTTGTTGTTCGTTAAACCATGCCCACCTGTGCAGTGGTAAAATTCTACTTCAAGAAGATGACCAGATGAATAGAAATCTGGTATGTTTTCATTTCTACTTGTGCGCTAGCGTAATCAAGGTTGCTTTGGCTTCAGGCAGTATGGGTTTTTCGAAAGAAAAGGTTTTGCACACAGTTTTTGAATTCCGTTAGCCTACAATTATTTTTTGACTTAAATGTGTAAACATTATAATTATTATTTTCTGGAATTTAAACTAAAATATATAAATGCAAATATTGTTGCTAAACTGACCAATTGGTCATGTTTGTTTGGGTCACATGGATAACTTATTGCAAATTAACGCTGATTAACGCACTCTGGTCTAAGCTAATTTCTATTGTCTACAAAATCTATTTTACGAACCATTCGAATACAACCAATGATGAGAGGGTTGTTTATGGTTTATGCAGAATGGCAGTGGCGACTGTTCCATTTATATTTTAGGGGTTTTTCGTTGGAAATAGTTGGTTTATCCATGGTTTATCCAAGTAAGTATTCATAGAAGAGACAATCTAATCTACTGTATGTAAACTTACGTTTCTTCAGGACATGCAAATCTGGTTATCCACTCAAAGGTGTACTTACAAGTACTACTGCTTGACACGAACCTGTAAAGGTGAGGAGAGAGACATGAAAGTTTTATGGGATCACGATAGCACTTTAGATATCGGTATCAAGCTCCCAATTTAGTTCTGTCACGATGCAATCAAAAGATGCCAGTTACCGTAAGCTTTCCATTTGTGTCATGCTGTTGCAGCATCTACAGTGTTAAAATTCTTACAACTGCAGATAAATCTACAACTAACTTAAGCTGGAGGAATAGAGCGACTTAGAATCTATTTTTATTCAATTTGTATTACACTATACCAGTAAGTGCCACAGAAAGGGTAGTAGAGGATTCACAACTTTGTTTGCTGGGAGACACCAGCGGCAATTAAGGATCTATGGTCCAAGAAGGTTGGGTTGCAGTTGTTCCTTTACCTGTCACAGGGGTCCAGGGAGTTACGAAAGCTCTAAAGTTTAAGCCATTTTAATCTCTTATCAAAATGATTTCTCGCTTACTACTGCTAGGGGAGGAGGAAGGAGAGAAGGGGTGAGCACTCCCTTATGCCACCCCTAGAATTGTCCATGCAGCCTTATTCAGTTCTCTGTTCATTCGATTTATTTCAAATTATACACAACATAGAACACTCCCTATTCCCTGGAGAGATCTTAAGCATAGAATATATTTGTTTAATTGATTTTAATATTTTTGTGACTTTGTCTTGGTTTTGTGGGAACATTCAAAATTCAAGATTGAAGAAGTTACATAAATTAATGGCTTACCCTTTGAAGTTTGGAGTGCCAATTGCATTGCCACATTTAAAGGTTATTTCAGTAGCAGTGGGTTGGTTATTACAGGCATTGCTGTTGCCTTCTGTAAACACAATCTTGAGATCTGGTTTGTGGGATCCTGAAATGATCAAGAAATGAATGGTTAAAATCGAATGAATTAATAATAATAATACCCAAACATTTGTAAGGCGCCAATTCCAAATTGAATGATCAAAGGCGCGAGCATTGTTACCCCTGGTCACTGGATAATGTACAATGGCAAACCAGCACAAAGTGCAACTTCCTCTGCTCCCTGGGGAGTATCCCTAGTCGTTCGCTACTTCTTTAGCGCACGAAACTAGAACATTCAATGCCACAACATCCTACCAGTTACCCATTTATACTCCTGGGTAGAGAGAGACAAACATAGATAATTGTGCCTTGCCCAAGGACACAAGCAACTTGCACAGCGAGCATTTCAAACCCCTGACCTAAAGGTTGGGAGTCCAAGCCAAAAAAGATATGCCAACTGCATCATTTGTATTTAGCATCTTTTAAAAAGATAAACATTTCAGACATCAAACATTTAACACCACAAGTTACTAAATTACATCGGGGTGTCATCATTCCATGTGTCAGCGCTAATTTGTATTTTATTTAAATAAACAAATAATCAGTTAATGATGAGGTTTTGTGAGACTTTCCACCAAATTTAACTTTAATATATCAATTCATCACATATTATGCAATATCTTGAGAATAGAAATCACCATAACAGCAATTCAAATAAGCCTAGTAGGGGTTTTGCAACCTCAAATCCAATTTCATTTTACGTGATGTTGATATAATAATAATGGTTGATTTATAAAGCACATATCGCAGAGACCTCTACAGGCTTAACATTATTACCCATGGTCATTAGATTACCCATGGTAATCAGCACATTTTGTGTTTGAACCTACCAGGTACCCACTTGTACTCATGGGTGGAGAGAGACAACCGCAGGTAAAGTGCCTTGCCTAAGAATAAAAGTGAAATACACACGAAGGATTGAACTTCCGACCTCAGGGTTGAGAAGAAAAAACCGCAACCACTGTGTCAAAGAGGATTGTGACCCTGAGATTATTAAAGGGAGGCTGTATTTTCTTACCACTAGTCAGTTGCTGCGTGTATTCCATTCCTAGAGACTCAACTGTGCTGGTCCCAGTGTCTTCACTGCAAACAGAGGCTGCTTGATCACACCCACTTGGGCCATTCATGATAGTTGTACATATATTCATGTAATACCTAGAAGAGGGAAAAGAATCAACATACTTAAACTGCGATCCAGTCCTTAAATTTTGCCTTAATCAAGAAAAATATTTAAAATAAATCAATTTTGCCACCAATGGCATTCCATATTACTTAATTACATGGCGTTCTATACTACATTTTTTCTGGGATTCCCATCCAAGTTCAAAAACATAACAAAAATATAGTCTGGTGGCATTCTCCAAATTATCTAACACTACAAAAAGTCAAGAGTCTACGACATACTATGTAAAATATATTATTTTATTCTTCTTTTAAACTGCCTGATAAAATACACATTGTTCTACCATGGCTCTACAAATAGGGACCACTATAAGAAAACAAAATATGTCATGCTATTAAAGCAATCTTGAATCTATCCTCGCCCACCACCCCTCCCTTGAAGATTATTGTTGGCTTTCTTCCGATGACCTTTTAAATATTAAGTTTGCTAAGCATGGTATAAATAAATCCTCAATTTAGGTGTATTGTCAATGTAGAATTTCTTATAATAATTTTTAAAACTAACTTTTTTCCTTTGTCTGTGACTTCCCAACTACTGGTAGATCTTGACAGTGCATGGAGGTCGTACAGTTTACCATCCACTACTATGTCGCACGGCCGATGCATGGGTGGACAAACTTTGTCGCTCCTCCAGATGAATGAATAATAGCAGGCTTGGTCGTCAGACTGAAATCCAATCAAACAAATAAAAAAAACATCAATCAAGTCAATAAAAACTGACAACATGGTAGAAAAATAATTGGTGTCAATCAATCAATTAGCAAATCAATCCTCTTTGAATTGAATAAAGGTGTTTTTAATTGGTTGTTCAAAGTTCTTGCTAAGAAAACCTTAAAAACAATCCGTAGAATTGAAGATTGAATGGCAAAGGGTGACTACAGACAACAATAGAAGATGAAATATGGGGAAGAAGATGAGAATTCGAGGACAATGGGCAATGGAAGAGGATAACAATGGACAAGAATGATAAGGACAAGGGCCAAGGAATGAAAGGAACAAAGAAGAATGATGAGAATCAACAGATGATCAACATGGTGACAGTGACAATGACATATACTCACAGTGACAAGCTGTGGTTTTCCAAGTCCTTCTGATTCATTACATTCAAATATTATTTCCGAGTGCCTTTTACCATCACCTATGATAGAATATAAAAAAAGAAAGACAGTAATATCTTAGGAACTGTTTTTACTTGGGAAAATATATAAATATAAGAATATTTTTAATATGGGTCATAACATTTTTAATTCAATTTATCATTATTATATGGACATAAATTTTAAAAATAAGTAAAAAGAATCAAAGCAATAAGTAAAAGGTGATAAAGTCACAGAACTTGGCTCAATATACACCTAATAAAACTTAGTGCCAAAAAGACAAAATAGACCTCTTGTGTTAACAGTTAACAAAAGTTTTCCGACAACCAAGCCTGAAATGGGACAGAACTTAGCATTAATATCAACTAAAAGCTAATAACCCACTTAAAATAATTAATCCAAGTAGTGAATTTTTTTTCCAAGATTTTTTTTAAGCTTAACTTACTATAATAAACTGTCAAAAAGAAAAAAATAATTTGATACGAAAGGATAATTAATAGAAATTACATTATTTTTTTATGATGTACATTCAAAGAAATGCTATCATTACCAGACTTACCAACAGGACAGACTGCTCCATTGCTGTAGGTGACCTTAAGGTTGTGCCCTGTGTAAGAGAACTCCTGGCTAGCGACATTACCGAGAGATATTTTTTTGCCACTGCTAGTCAAGCACACAGCAGCATCGTCACAATCACCAAAAACAGATTTGCATATATTAATGGAGTACTTCTTAGAGTCTCCATTTGTAATCTATATTTACAAAAGAATATTAGAAATGTACTTTAGCTTTGATAGATTTACTATTCTTTTCTTGTTATGTGTAAAATACTCTGCTAATTATACTAGGATTATTGATTGGGTCAAAATACAAAATACATAATAAAAAAAATAGAAATATCGATAAGATAACTACAATCATATTCCTGTGAGAGAGAGTGATTGGGCGGTACAACGGTTGAGTCTTCCTCAATTTTTATAAGTGGGTACACAGGAGGTTCGAGTGGCAATGTCATGATTCGACATAGCAAATTGGAATCTGCTTTCATACTGACCTCTTTGACCTCTGTAGAGAGAGGAGTCAAATCAAAGACATAATCCAAGTTGGTGGCGTTGTATTTACACTCAGTCGTTTTCTCAGGTTTGGATGGAGGACAGACACTACTAGTCATCCACAGAAAGTGATAAGCACAATTATCGATACTCGTCAGCTTAGGAGTGCCCTGGAAATAAAGAATAAATATGTCAAAAAGGTCTTGATGAATAATGTCAGCATTCTTTAATTTCCTGACATTATAATATTAATAATAATGGTTGGATTTATATAGCGCTTTACACCAGTCTCAAAGCACTCGTAGCACGGACTAACTTGTACGGTAACTATCTTCTCCCCAAGGGTCACTTCGTGTCTGAGCTAATCACTAAACTGGTGCCAGCTACTCTCATCTGTCCACAATTGGGGCTGTATGGACCAGTACACCGGGGTAACCCCCTACTCGTCTAAAAAAAGATGTACTGTACTGGGTTGTTCATGGTGCCATGAGCCAATTGTGTACACTGGGCCTATGGTAAATTGACCTTATTGAAGAAGATTTGCTCCACCTCCAGAACCAGCACCGATATTATGGCTGTAGGTTGCGACGTCCCTGCCTTAAACTGCTAGGCCATTAGACTCATAGAATAATGATACACAGTATAGTAATTAATGTTTCTAATTGCTAATTGACACTTACATGAGATGTACCAGGATCACAGGAGAATATGATGACAGTTGTAAGCTTCCTTGATTTGTCAGTTGAGCAAGGATCTCCATCGGTGTACGTTAAATTCACATTGCCATTTTCAAGTAGTACAGGCGTGCTACTTAGTTTACCAATGCTCTTAAAATAAAGTAACAATTAGCATTCTCAGTGCTGATCATCAAAACATTGTTCTATATATAAGGGTACTGTTTTACTTGTGCCTCAGTTAAAAAAAATACAAAAACACACATGTAATACAAGACATAACGAAAAGCAACTATGAAACTTATCGCAAATATTATCAGCAGAGTGCTTAATGGTAGAACAGAGTGGCTAAAAATAAATAAAATGTAAGGTTCAACAGTAGCTTTGATCTAATAGATATTTTATTACTACTTAGTTTCATACCACACACATGGTGTGACACTCTTCAGATAAAAATTGCCTAGTAACTAGAAATTGCAAATTGCAAGTGAAGTGCTGCGAAGTACAACTGCATATAAATGTTATTCGAACAAAATTATTTATGCGAGTCAAGTGAAAATAATGAATAATAAAAATATAACAAATAATATGAGACACGACCCATTG